TACTGGTCTGGTGGGGTTTCCTTGTGGGAAGGGGCACTCCCCAATGGTTCTGGGGTCCCAGGGGTCACTCCAGGCAATACGTGGACCAGCAGTGTGGTCTGATGGTTCAGTGTTAGCCAGCAACGCTGGGGGTAAGCACGGAGGGCCATGCGGTACCGGGGATCAAAATCAGGGTCTCCCTTTTCAGCTCTTTCTCCCTGGGCCCTGGGTGTTGAGCTTAAAATAAAAATGAAGAGCCGGGGCAATAGCACAATGGGGAAGGCGCTTGCCTTGCATGGGGCAGACCCAGATTCGATTCCCGCATCCCACACGGTCCCCCCCAAGCACTGCCAGTAGTGGGGGGAGCGGTAGGTGAGAGCAGGAGCTGGGACGGCAGTGGGGCTCTTGGTGCCCATGTGTGGGCCCCAGGGGTACCCAGGGAAGGAGGGGCCACGCCCCCGCAGCCACATTTCACTAGAGATAGAGCAGGGCGAGGCATCGTGGACAGGACCAAGGCCGCTGATAAACAGCCCCTCGGACCCTCCTGGCAGGAAGGGGGGGGGAAGCACCGAGCCACGGCCAGTCTGGAATGTTCGCCGCCACATTATCATCAACAGCCCCGGAATGGAAGGGATCCCAGCACCCGGCTTGCTGCGCAGATAAACAAAGGTGACACAGCCCTGGACAGAATACTCAGAGGAAGAGAAAGGAACCTCGAAACTCCCCGGCAAAGTGAGAGCGTGTGTGCGTGCCGACGACGCAGACCTACAGGACAGAAAGCGGGCAGCGCAGCTAGCTGTGGGGGCCGGAGCAACAGACGGCACAGCGGGGAGGGCGTTTGCCTTGCACACGGCCGACCGGGGTTCGATTCCCAGCATCCCATTGGTCCCCGGAGCACCGCCAGGAGTAATTCCTGAGTGCAGAGCCAGGAGGAATTCCTGTGCATCGCCAGGTGTGACCCAAAAAGCAACAGGAAAAAAAAGGAAGCAGACAGCTGCTGGCCCGGGTGTGCTGCAGGCAGGCGCCGGGGAACCTTCACAAGAGCTGCAATGTCGGGAAACGTTACTTGTGGCCAGGGCTGTACACTCTCTGAACGTACCTAAGAAACCACTACGCCCCAGCTCAGCTTCCTGAGCCCGGACAATTCTACCCCCATGCTTGGCAGACCCTCACGGCCCACCCCCGGAAGCCCATGGTGGTTTGGTTTGGGGGTGGGTTGGTTGTTTTTTTGTTATTGGTTTATGGGTTTTGGGGTTTCCGTTTGGTTTGGGGTTTTCTGGCCACATGGAGGTGCTCGGGCCTTACTCCCGGCTCTGCACTCAGACATCCCGCCTGGCAGTGCTCAGGGGACCATACCAGATGCCAGGGGTTGAACTGGGGCTGACCACGTGCAAGGTAAATACTGTGACTCCGGGGCTCTCTCTCTCCAGCGTGGATGACTTTCTTGCGATCATCCAGCTTTTAGGAGCCAGAGAGAGTTTGGGGGTGAAGGCACGCGCCTTGCTTGCAGCCAACCCCGGTGTGACCCCTGGTTCCACATGGGCTTGTAAACACAGAGCTGGGAGGAGTCCCGAGGCCCCAGAGCGCTGCTCTGTGGCACGGTCTGGGGGGTTCTCCCGGCAGCCCAGAACCCATGTGGCATCACATCCTCAGGCCTCGCCCTCACCTGCCAGCCTGGTTGGTGGAGCATCTCCAGATGGGGCCCCGGGACTCCTGAGCACTGCTCAGGTGCCCCCCCCCCACCCCATGCCCGGGGAAAAAGAAAAGATTCCCACTCCTGTTTTTGGGAGAGGATGTTCCCCGGGGGAGCCGACCCTGGGGCTGGACCAGACCAGCAGGCCATGAGGGAAAAGCTGGGGCCACTGGCCGAGGGGACCATCTCCCCTGCCCTCTGAGCTGGCTGGCAATGATAGTATCTGCTGCCCAGAGGGCGCTGCCTTGCGAAGAGGTTTGGCACTGTCTCCTATGCAGGGGGGCGGGCAGGCAGGCGGGCGGGCACCAGTGTCTGTCTGCAGACCAGTTGCCCAGTGGGGCATCAGGAACTCCTCCTCCCACCCCCGGGTGCCAGCAGGTCCAGACTTGTTCCCACTGAAGCCAGCCAGGTGCTCTGGGTGGGCCGTAGCTGCAGCTGGGCCGAGACAGCAGCGTCAGAAGGGGGTGGGGGGTGGGGGTGGGGAGTCGGGGAGGTACTGGCTTAGGTCTCCTTCAGCAGAAAGCAACCAGCCGAGGCCAGTTTTCTCCGTGAAGCCAGGAAACAAAGGCTCACTTCTCCTTCACAGGTTTCAATTGAGGGAATAAACCAGAGAAGGGCCCAGAGAGACAGTCCACTGGGAAGCGTTTACCATGCCCACCCACACCCACTCCGGGTTCTACTCCCAGCACCACAAAGCCCCTCCCCCCCCCCCCCCCCCCCCCCAGCCAGGCCAGGAGTAATCCCTAAGCAACTGGAGCCAGGATAAGCAAACAGATATGATCCATCCCCCTCCTCCCCACCCACCACCAATTTCCTATAGTTTAGACCCATCACGCTGGTGGTTTGGGTTTGGGGCCACACCCAGCAGTGCTCAGCGATCATTCCTGCCAGTGTTTGGGGCAGGGGGAGGCCCGGGCTGAGGACTGGACCGGCCTCAGCCACATGCAAGGCAAATGCTTTAAGCCCTATGCTATTTCTCCAGCGACCAGGCCCACCCAGACGCAGTCTCAAGGGAAGGGGAAACCGAACATCACTGATGTCCCAGCTCCTTGCTTGTGACATGGGAAATAACTCCCCAAGCCCACGGCCGTCGTCGTAAGAACAGAAACAGAATTCTCCAGTCTCCAGCAGGGAGCCGACCCCTCCAAAGAGTCCCCTTCTTCACCGCCCGGTCACCCCACTCTGCATCTCAAGACAGCCCCAAGGGCTGGAGCGATAGCACAGCGGGGAGGGCGTTTACCTTGCACGCGGCCTACCTGGGTTCGATTCCCAGCATCCCATAGGGTCCCCGAGCACCGCCAGGAGTAATTCCTGAGTGCAGGGCCAGGAGAAACCCCTGAGCATTATCAGGTGTTTCCCAAAAAGAAAAAAAAAAAAAGGTTCAAGACAGCCTCGGGAGCGCTCCGTCTCTGCGAACACCAAGAGCCTGCTCCACCCACTGCCCCAGACGCAGCCCAGGTTCAAGAACACACACGCAAACCCCAAGGCTCTCAAGTACACGGCCCGGATGTGAATGTGCGTTACTCTTTGCAAACACACAACTCCAAAAGCGGCAAGTCACAAAGATGGGAACGGCTGCTCCTCTATCCCAACGGTCACTGTCCTCCCGTTGTTCATCGATTTGCCCGAGCAGGCCCAGTAATGTCTCCATCGTGAGACTTGTTGTTACTGTGTTTGGCATATTGAATACGTCACAGGGAGCTTGCCAGGCTTTCCACTTGTTTTGTTTTATTTAAAAAAAAAAAAACAGGGATCCCTCTGGGCCCCAAATGAGGGGTGCTTATATCTCTATCCAGGAAATCAACACCCCTAAATAATCATCTGCTTTTTTTTTTCTCCCAGGAACCAAACCAGCAGCTGACAGCTTCTGCAAAATCAAACCATCTGGGGCAACTTTGGCGAAGTGCGGTGGATACACCGCTGCCCCGGCCACAGCTCAGGCAGGAAGGGACCTCTCAAGCTCTCCCAGGGGAGACGCCCCCTGCTTGTCCGGGTGCCTGTCCCCGAACCCCTCCTTGGCACAAATTAGGAGCCGCGGGGCGACCGGCTCACGGTAATTAACAGTGACCACGACTGAGGTTCCAGGCTGTCTGGCTCACCCTGGGGGAGTGACTCTGGGTCCAGTCCCCATCCAGGAGGGGTGCGGAGCTGCTTCCTCCTGGCTGCCTGGGCCCCGTGGACGGGGACAAAGACCCCACAAGATGGCAGCTGGCGCCTCTCCTGCTCCCTTTGATAAAGCCTCCACCTGGCAAAGCCACCCGCGGGGCGAGCCAGCGGCGCCGGCGCCAGGGACAGGCCACTAGGGGGAGGGACACAGGGCGCGGTGGGGGGGGAGGGAAAGGGCGGGGGACAGGCTGGCTGAGGGGTGACGACAGGGCGGAGACAAACACAACAGGGCGGGCCAGGCCACAGCCCAGGGAAAAGCACATTCCCAGGACCCCCAATTCCCACGGGCCCAGCTCCCCTCCACCCTCGGCTTCCCTAAGTGTCGCCGGAGACGGTCCCCCGCCCCACGCCCCCACCCCAACTGGTCACCGCCCTCTCCCAGTAGGCGAACGTCCAGGCGCCGGCACCCTCCGGCGACCGTGGGGCCCAGTGTGTGTGTGGGGGGGGGAGGGAAACGGGGACACAGCAGGTGGTCACCGCGGCCCGCGCCCGCGCGCGGCGGCTCCACCCTCTCGGGTCGTGGGGGGTCACGGCCCCCTCGCCTCCCGGGGCCCACGCGGGCCCGCGCGCCCCAGGCTGGGCCGAAACGGCCTCCGAGGGGCAGCGCGCAGAGTCCGCGGGGCGGGGGCCCGGCAGACGGTGCCCGGCCAGGCGCGGCCCTTTCGGGAGCTGGGGGATGCCCGGGGGAACCCGGGGGAGGCGGGGAGGGAACCCCGGGGTGCTGGAGGGGCGGGGGAGACGGTGGGGGAGGCCGGGGGAGACGGTGGGGGTGTTCGGTGGGGGTGTCCGAGGGGTGCCCGGGGGAGGTGCGGGGGGGACCCCCGGGATGGTGAGGGGGCCGGGGAAGGCGTGGGGAGCCCGGAAGAGAAGAGACAGGGTGCCCGGGGAGCGCGGGGCGCCCGGGGGAGGCGGCGGGGTCCCGGCGGGGGGCGCGGGGCGCCCGGGGGGAGCCGGAGAGGGCGTCCCGGGGAGCCGAGGGGGCCCCGGGGGAGGCGAGGGGGCCCGGGGGAGCGGGGGCGCCGGGCGAGGCGCGGGGAGACCCGCCCGCGGCCCAGGCCCGCGCCCCGGCCGCAGGGACCCGCGCGCGGGGCCCCGCCCGGCGCCGCCGACCGGCCAGGCCGGGCCCGGCGTCCCGAGCGGCCGGGGGCGTCCCGGGGCTCACCCTGCGCGCGGCCTGCTGTCCATCCGCTTCTTGGGGCGCACCGGCTGCAGCGGGATGTTGTCCGTCATGTCGCCCGCGCCGCCCGCCTTGGCCGCCGCGCCCCCCGCGCCGCCCGCCCCGGCCTCCGCGCCGCCCCGCGGGAGGAGGCGGCGGCACCGGGCCGGCCGGGTCCGCAGCGACGGGGCGAGCTCGCGAGCGCCGGGCCACGCGCGGAGCCGCCCGCGCGGCCCGACCGACGGACACGGCCGCACCATGGGCCCCGCTCGGCGCCGCCGCCGCCGCCGCCGCAGTGTCCCCGCCCCCGGCCCGCGCCGCGCGCCCCCCCACGCGCGCCCCCCGGCCACGCGCCCCCCGCCCCGCCGTGCGCGCGCCCGGACGCCGCCCCCGGCCCCCGCGCGCGCGGGCGCGTTCCGCCACCGGGAGGGGCCCCCTGGCGGGCAGCCCGCCACCCCCCACCCCGCTCAGACCTCCCCCCCCCTCGCGCGCCCGCCGTGCCGGGCCTCACCCCCGGGGGTACCCGGAACCACCCAGAGCCCGGCTCGACCTCCCAGACCCCCCCACCCCCGACCCTCTCGCCCACCTTGATCGCGCGCGCACACGCACATGCACACACGCACACACATGCACACGACCCCCTTCACGCAGACCCGCTCTCCCGGCCCACCCCCGCCCACGGGCTTGGCTTTGCGGCGTTGGGAAGGAAACGAACAGAGAACAGGGAAGAAAGGGAGGTTGAAAATCCATCGGTAAGGGTCCGAGACGCGGGGCAGCGGGTGGGCACTTGCCTGGCACGCGGTGGACCCGGCTTCCATCCCATCCCCAACACTGCGGATGGCTCCCCCCGGCCCCGCCAGGAGTGATCCGTGAGCACAAAGCCCGGAGTAAGCCCTGAGCACTGCTGTGACCCAAAAACAGAAAGAAAAGGGAGGGGCGGGGGAAGAGAGAGAGGGAGGAGGGAGGGAGGAAGGGAGGGAGAGAAAGAGAGGGAGATAGAGAGAGAATCCATTTCCTGGGCCCAAGAGAGCTCAAAGGGCTGAGCTCCTGGCATGTCCAAGTCCTGGGTCTCATCCCTAGCACCTCTGCCGAGCACTAACCTGGGAGTATCCCTTGAGCACTGCTGATGTAGCTGCACCCTTCCATTTATTTATTTATTTTTTGCTTTCTTGGGTCACACCCAGCGATGCTCAGGGGTTACTCCTGGCTCTGCACTCAGGAATTATTCCTGGTGGTGCCCGGAGGACCCTATGGATGCGGGGATCGAACCCGGGTCGGCTGCGTGCAAGGCAAACGCCCTACCCCCTTACTATATCTCTGGCCCCACCCTTCCGTTTTTAATTAAGCAGCCCCCACACCTGACCGCTGGTGCCCCCCCCAAACTCCCAAGTCAAATGTCCTTTTTTTTTAATTTACTTTTTTTTCTCAAAGAACCTTCTCACTGTGTCACTTCCTCTGTAGCTTGGGGCGCCTTTCACTGGGTTGCCCTAAGGGAGGGACCCCCACCGCGCCTCCAGGGGGACCCCAACTCCTCTCCTGTCCCATGAAGCCATTCGGGGCAGCATGCCTGCAGTGTTTGCTGCTGCCTGGCACCTGTGCCCGCTGTTCAGCATGCAGGCACCTCTCTGCCCACCTCCTGCTGTCTCCTGCCCCCGGCAGCTCAGCAATGCAGGAGCCAGAAGCCTCTGGCCCAGCCGAGAGAGCCCAGTTATAGCATCAGAGCAGGCCCCGCCCTCCACCACCTGGCATTTCCCCTCAGGCCCCACCCACCGCGTGTCCAGCTCCAACATGACCTCATCGAGTAACCCCAGGCCCCTGCCAGCCCTGCAGGCCCCCAGACTTAAGGCTGGTGTTCACAAACAAGAGTTACTGTTCTCAGAGGCCAGAGCCATAGTACAGTGGGTAGGGCATTTGTCTTGCAAACTGGTCCCCCAGCACCCAGCATCCCATAGGGTCCCCTGAGCACCACCTGGAGTTAATTCCTGCGTGCAGAGCCAGGAGAAATCCCTGTGCATCGCCGGGTGTGACCCAATAAGCAAAATAAAGTTACTGTTCTCTCAAGCACCCCAAACATGGATAAAGTTGTGTGTGTTTTGGGGGGGCCACACCTGGAGGTGCTCAGGGCTCACTCTTGGCTCTTACACTCAGGGATCACTCCTGCTGCGCTTGGGGGACCCTATGGGGTACCTGGGATTGGACCTGTGTTGGCCCCGTGAAAGGCAAACACCCCGCAATGCTTCCCTCTATACTATCACGCCAATCCCCAATGTTTTTTGGAACAAACGCAGCCCCCAGCATTTGCCAATCACTGGGCAGAGAGGAAATAGACTGGAGCGGGCTCAGATGATGCCAGGCCATTGGCCAGGAAGGATGCACCGGAAACAGCTGCCACTGCAGGGGCAGGAAAGAGAGTCAGTTGGGGACCAGAGCAATAACACAGTAGGTAGGGCGTTTGACTTGCATGCGGCCGACCCAGGTTCGACTCCCGGCATCCCATTTGGTCCCCCAGTACCTCCAAGAGTAATTCTCAAGCACAGAGCCAGGAGTAACTCCTTGAGCATCACTGAGTGTAACCCAAGAATAGAAAAAAAAAAAGTAAAGAGGGTTGTCTGTGATCAGCTGAGTCCCCACTAGGGGGTCTCTCCAAGGGCCCTTCATCCCAATTCTTGCCCCTTCAAGGTTACTCTGGTCCAAATAGGATCCCCTTGCCCCATGTCAGGTGGTACCCTCAGCTGAAGAACTGAATCCACATCATTCCACCATCCCACATGATCCCCTGCGCACCACCAGGAGTAATTCCTGAGTGCAGAGCCAGGAGCATCACCAGGTGTGACCCAAAAAAGTCAAAATAAACTATATTCTTAAAAGAAAAAAAAAACTTGGGGCTGGAGTGCTAGCACAGCGGGTAGGGCGTTTGCCTTGCACACGGCTGACCCAGGTTCAATTCCCAGTATCCCATATGGTTCCCTGAGCCCGCCAGGAGTAACCCCTGTGCATCAACAGGTGTGACCCAAAAAGCAAAAAAATAAATAAAAAAGCTCGGTGTAGACACGTTTTACTGAGCGTACAATACAATGCACGCTACATGGAAAATGCTCATCAAACCTTAATTTTTATACTTCCCCTAACTGCTGTGAACATATTACTCATCTTGATTAAAGAATGCCGGGGGCCTGAGCGATAGGACAGCAAGTGGCATGTTTGCCTTGTACGTGGCTGACATGGGTTCAATCCCTGACATCCCACTTGATCCCTGAGCACCGCCAGGAGTGACTCCTGAGTGCAGAGGCTGGAGTAAGCCCTGAGCATCATCGGGTATGGACCCAAAAAAATAATAAAAAAGGAACACCAGGCTGGCGAGAGGACTCAATGGGAGACCCGGGTTAGATCCCCAGCACGGTGCGGTTCCCCAAGTGCGACATCCCTCAAGCATCAGTGAAAGGGACACTTGAGCAACCCACAGTATTAGCCGAACTGGAGTCGGAGAGCGAGTTTGGCAGGTCACGTGCTGCTTGCTTTGCACACAGCTGACCCGGACTTTGGCCCCAGCAGCATCTACGACCCCCAGAGCACCACCGGGAGTGATCCCCAAATGCAGAAGCCAGGGTAAGCCCTGAGCATCGCCAAGCGTGGCCCCATTCCACTTTTTAGCTGGTACCAATTATAATTATTATTGCTCTCCCCAGGGCATTCCATAAAATAAAAACATAATTATTCCATAAAAATATGATTATTAATGCTCCCCCCAGAGCATTCCGTAAAAATAAAAAGATCTTTCATGTATCAGGGGCTGGAGCAATAGGGCAGTGGGTAGGGTATTTGCCTTGCATGCGGCTGACCCAGGTTCGATTCCTCCACCCACCTCCCCCAGAAGCCAGGCAAGCTACTGGGAGTATCCTGCCCACACGGCAGAGCATGGCAACCTCCGTGTGGCGTATTCAATATGCCCAAACAGTAACAGTCTCACAATGGAGAAGTTACTGGGCCCGCTCGAGCAAATCGATGAACAACGGGAGGACAGTGCTACTGTGCAGTGCTACCAATTCTACCTCCAGGATGATTCAAGGGAGCTCAGGGGAATCTCGAGTTCATCCTTGACTCACTGATACTTCGGCTACGGGAAGTTTACAGGATTTAGGGAAGGGGGTGGGCGGGTGGGTTGGGGGAGGGGGGGTGAGAGCCAAGGAGACCCGCATCCTGCTTCCAGAAGACAGATGGGCATCGGCAGCTGCCCGCTAGCATTTCTTCCTGGCCAGGCGCCTTTGCTTCTTGGGGGGATTCTGCCCCTTTCCGGGATTCGCAGTCCCAGAGGGTACCGGTGCCCAGAAGCACCCACGGCGTTGAGGGGCAGTTGTCTTGCAGGAGGCCGCTTCAGCACCACGTATGGTCCCCCGCCCCCCACGGAGGCCCCTCTCAGCACTGCTATGAGTGACCCCCAGAGCCGTGAGCAACCTCTGAGCCTTCCTGAGTGTGGCCAAACCAAAATGCAGAAAACCGAGCACAAAACTGCAACTTTCTTTGGACCGGACAAACAGCAGAGAGGCTCAGGAAGTCTCTGGCATTACACACGACCCAACTGGGGTTCAACCTCCAACCCCACATATGGTCTCCAAGCACTGCCAGGAACATCCCTGAGCACCACCCCCCATAAAGGGGTATTTCTTAAATGCTAATTTTTCTTTTGGGGTCACACCCGGCGATGCACATGGGTTACTTCTGGCGGTGCTCAGACCTTATGGAATGCTGACAATCGAACCCGGGTCGGCCGCGTGCAAGGCAAATACCTTACCCGCTGTGCTATCACTCCAGCCCCCAAATGCTCAATAATTTTTTCTGGAAACCAAAACCAGAAGTTGACATTCCACAAGCAGCAGAGAATTCCCAAGGGATGACATGAGCCTTCGAAAGACAATCTGGAGGGGCTGTCGCGTTAGGACAGTGGGGAGGGTGCTTGCCTTGCATGCAGCTCACCAGGGTTCGATCCCTACTCCCCGACATGGCCCACCTAGAGGGACCCTGGGGGGGCTGGAGTGCTAGCACAGCGGGGAGGGCATTTGCCTTGCACACCGCTGAACTGGGTTCGATTCCCAACATCCCACAGGGTCCCCACCCCCTACCCCCAGCACCACCAGGAGTAATTCCTGAGTGCAGAGCCAGAAGT